GATTTTCCAGGCTCGGGGGCATTCTCCCCATACGTGCTTTTTGACAGCTTATAATAGCTTTAAAGATGAAAGAGGGAAGTTGAGGAAGGCTTTCACTTTTAAATTAAAACCAGCATTTGGAAATCCAGGCGTGACTGTTTTGGTAACTGCAGAATATTTCTTCTCATTTCATTATGGGCATTCCCCTTTTGATTTACTTTAGCTCCACTCTCTGTTGCATTTAGATAATAGCATTTTTGCTTTTTGTTAGGCGCTGGCACACTGCTTGCGTATTTGGCTGTTGGTACGCAGAGCACGTAGCAAGCAGGGCTTAGAGTGGAAATTGTGAAGCCTTTCCCCCTTGGAGAGGCTTCAAATGCCTTTGCAGCTCCAGCTCCTAGCAAGAAGCCAACACTTAACCAGGTTGGGCAATATCTCACATTATTGCTGCCTGTATATTTCCTATGTGGGTATTTGTGTTTAAGAAGTAGTGGCAACACTGCCAAGACAGTGGCTTGTGAGGGAAAGCATGAAGTGCAGATAGGCTGCTGCCCTAAAGACGAAACAGGTGAAAAATTGTAGGGAATCATAAACGCCAGCCCATCCCAAAGGGCAGAGCTCTGGATTAACACTTGGGATTCAGGGATCTAGGTCTGGATTTGACAGGCCTGCTAGGTGACCTCCAGCCACTTTGCTTCGTAGCCCTGCACCTGCTGCTCAGGGTAGACGGTGAAGATCCTGGTGCAAAGCAGGCTGAGATCTCTTGATGAGGTGTGTGGCAAAACGATCAAGGATATGTGATAGCCGACTGGCACAAGCCCACCGAGGCAGGCTTTCCCCCAAGCATTTTGTTGTTCGCCTTGCAGCACCCACAGCATGTTAAAACCCAGACCGACCCCCACCAAACTGCCACCTGTTTCTGGAGATGTATCCATGCAGCGGGGCTCTGGCAGGCTGGCACAGGACCCACTTTTGCCAAATCCCAAAACCCTCTTTTTTTCCCCAACTTTTTAAGTTGGTCTAATAAAAGATATCAGATTCACCCAAAAAACCTTGAACACTCTTTGAAAGATCTGTATTACCCCAGATACAGGGATGTGACTGGTCACTGCATTCATGCCCTTGCTGGAGGGGAAAGGGGGGGAAGCCCTCTAACTAGAGATTTAAAAAAAGCCCAAGCAACAGAACAAAAATGAGAGGGATGGATGGGGAGTGGGGGAATCTCCTGCCTGCCAAGTCCTACTCCCTGCAGGAGGCAGCACCGGAGCACTCCTGCACAGACCAGAGCGCAACAGGTGCCGGCCAGCGGTTCTTTAAACAGACAGGACCAGAGTGGCTTTGTAGCATAGAAAATATTTATTTAAAATGCAAAAACTTGTGGAAAACGTTATCAGTATGAAAAATAGAGACCCCAGGCTGTGCATCCCACATTGGCTCATACCCCCACAAAAGGGGACATTGGCATTTGGGGGTTTCCCACCCCCCCCTTGTCACTGCTGCACAGCAGCAAATAAAACAGCAGTTGCCCCTCTCCAGTCCCTTGCCATAGTCCATCTCCAGGCTGGCGGGCGCTCTTAGGAGGCGTGCTGCCTGTTCACCAAGCTCCTGGGCTGGGCACCCAGCTCTTTGGTCTTCTCCACTCCGGAGTCACCCTGCGGCTGGGGGGCTGCCTGCTCTCGAGGGCTGCTCTCCTTCTCCTCCTCCTCCTCCTCCTCCTCCTCCAGCCGGTCTTGGGAGGCAAAGGGGCTGCAGACGGTCTCCACCAGGCCGATGAGCACCCCGAAGAAGGTCAGCACGCTGCCCAGCACGTACAGCCTCACCATCTTCCTGCCGGGCTTCTGGCTCAGCATCTCCCTGGCGAAGGGGATCAGCTCCTGCACGGTCTCCATGGCTGCCGCACCTGCACGGGGACAGCGCCGCAGGCTGAGTCGCGAGCTCTGCGCCACCTGCTCCCCCGGCCGCGCGCCGCCGCCGCTGCCTGCGCTCCCCGCCCGGCACCCGCCCCTT